TTTTGAAAAAAAAAAAAATCAGCTTTTAGTGAAAAAAAAAGTCATCCAAACTCTTAAGAATTCGTACAACAATGTAATTTAAAGTCTAGTATGATATTTTTTTTTATATAAGAATGATATTGAAGTTCCAACTTATAATCTCCTACAAACTATTCAAATTCATACTATAAATTTCAGTGACTTATATATTATTTTCCCTTTCTAACACAGGTACTTTGAAATTCTAGATGAAACGTTATCCACGTTGTCTTCTTTATATAGAAATGATTAACCTCAGCAACCATTAAGGGCTCGTTTGGAAGAGCTTTTTTTTCTTCAAAAATTACTTTTTTTAAGAAAAAAAAGTACTTCTCGAAAAAAGTCTATTTGGATGTCTGCTTTAAAAAAAAGCAGAAGTCGTAAAAAAAGCCAAAAACCTACTTTTTTTCAAAAGTTAAAAATTTTAACTTCTAAACAAAGCAGAAGTCAAAAGTCAAATATTTTTTTTCAAAAATTAAATATTTTTTAAAAAACTAAGTAACTGTAACTTTTATAGAAAGCGCTTTTAAAATAAGAAAGTCATTAAAAAGACTTTTTTCACAAATCCATACAAACAAGCTCTAAGTTGAAGTACCAACGCGTAAGAAACACTGTGGGGAATTAATATTCCAATTTCCAACGAGTAAAACCGTTGACCTAACGATTATAGTACTTCACTACTTACATTCGGTCTGCAGAGATAAAAAACACAAAAAAAAAAAGGAGGAAAAAGAATAGAAGAAGGGCCAGTTTTGTTGAATTTCTACTACAAACAGCATTAATTAAACACTGCTGAAAAATTTTAAAAAGAGAAAAGTGTTTATAAAAAAAGAGAGGTTATATTCACAAATTTTTTATTTATAAATTCTTATAAATTATATTATATATTAGGAATAGTATAGTTTAGTACACAATATTATATTCTACTCCTAATATATAATATAATTTACAAGAGTTTATAAAAAAAGTTTATAAATTTTTTTTTCCCTTTAAAAAATATCAAAATTCATTGCCATTATTAACGCATATGGTTATGCATTCATGTAATTTGGTCTTAATTTACAACTTAGAATATAAAACGATATTTTTAGACCTGTTGGCCTTCGATGTTCATAATTTGAGTTAATTATATGCAACTGACATATAGACTATATCGTATATGTGGCAAGTTGACTGACTGTTTGGGCAAATTGAGTCTATCACTATTATATTATAAGTAGGGTTATATTGACAATTTTTTTTATAAATTTATAAATTACACTATGTGTTGGGAAATTCGTTCCCTCAAACTCCAATGTCAAGAGGGTCCAGGGGAAGCCCGTGGCGGGGAACCACCACCAATGAGCTAAGGTTACACCAACCGTAGCAAGTGGATCCGACACCATGTCTCAACCCAAAACTTAAGACATTGGGTTCATGAGTCCTTTCACTTATATACTCTTCACTTAGCTCATTACCAACCAATGTGGGACTCATCACACTTGAATATCTCAACAATCTCCCCCTCAAGTGTGAAACCCACCATTGGTATGCTCCCCCTCAACCGAGTACCCGAAGCACAAAGTACTCGACCCGCCTCCTAGCCAATCACTAGGCTAGCTCGATCCCAATCCAGCTCTGATACCACTGTTGGGAAATTTGTTTCCTCAAACTCCAATGTCAAGCGGGTCCAGGGGAAGCCCGTGGCGGGGAACCACCACCAATGAGCTAATGCTACACCAACCGTAGCAAGTGGATCCAACACCATTTTTCAACCCAAAACCTTAAGGCATTGGGTTCATGGGTCCTTTCACTTATATACTATTCACTTAGCTCATTACCAACCAATGTTGGACTCATCACACTTGAATATCTCAACACTATGTCTGACCGGTAACATTCTATTTAAGAGTGTCTTATCAGTCAGATATAATGTAGTTTGTAAACAAAAAATTTGTAAATATAACATTCTCCTTATATTATATTGAAAACTTGTTGTCATAACATTTTAAGTTATATTAACTTGAATATGTAGGTTAGTTTGCTTGTACAATTAATTATTTGGTAGAAAATTAATCATGTGAGTAAGTGTTTTGGGAAACATGTGGTCTTGGGGAATATTCATTATACATTAAATTTTATATAACTCACAACTCTTCTTTTTTATATAATAGTGTTGACAAATAACACTGAAGAATTTTTATTCAATAAATATTTTCTTGTTATTCTAATTTTTCTCAATGAAATATATATATATATGTGTGTGTGATGAAGCCCAATAATCCTCCAAAAATACTTCTTTAACAATCAAATTTTCGACCTTAGAATTTAAACAGCCACTTTTAACCACTACAATGGGTACTATTAAGTGAAATCTCTTTCTTTATCATTGGGGGAGTTGGATGAACACTCATTTAACCAAACACTTATCTACCTATGCCAATAAATACATAACAAAGCTGAGCTAAACAGGAAGCGAAAATGATTATAAATATTTGCAAATCTAATTAGGGAATTCGATATTGCCACGGCCGAGTTCAATTTATTAGATAGACCTGTTGTGTCTTACTGCGTTATCTTAATTAAGCTTGAGCAGAGAAAGGTAAACATGCCGAATTGATAATACCATTTAAATAAGCTTCATTTTTGCAACTTCGTGCATATAATTTCATCTCAACAATTAAAAGTCTTAGAGATTCAAACTTACCAAAATACACTTACTAAAAAATATATATAACTTAAAAAAATTTATAAAGAGATATAACCTAATTAATATCCTAAGGTCCAAAAAATTTAATAACTATTAGTGAAACAATTATCCAAATTTTATGGACGTAAGAGCTATGGCAAACTAATGCTCTAGTTAAAAAAAAAAACTCAAGATACTAAAAAATTTGAGCCTTTAGATATAAATGGGATTAACGGACAAGATCAAAAATGTAACTTACACCGGTGTAAAATAATTCTGACCATATATATATATATATATATATATATATATATATATATATATATATATATTGCATCAATTAAAAGGTAGCTTATAAGATCGGGGAGGTCTTCAAATGCATAGTATCTTCACTATCATGCAATTCTATGAACTAATTTAGCATTTATTTTGTGTTATAAAAGATCAATTCAGTCAATATAGACTCATTCTCTTTGAGAATTTTACCTTACAACAGACAAAATTGTTAAAAGTGAGCAGGAGTGGCCCAATAATGATAGACTTAAATAATTTGTATGAGATATATATTCAAAATTCAATGCTATCATTTGAATTTAGGGCATCTGAGCTGAGCAGGTGGGGTGAGGGTATGTGTTCGAACCTCTCCAGTACCATATTTGGGAGAGGTTTAAAGCCTTAATCTTGGACCCGCCCCGAATCGGACTAATCGCGAAGCGATGAACTGATGGAATATTTCTAAAAATAAAAATAAAAATATTTGAAAATTAAATATCTTTTTAATCGGAGTCAACTTTCTAATCTATTCTAATTAATTGATTGAAAGATAAATAAATTAAAACCCACAAAATATATATTCATTCTAACAATTAAATGAAGGAGTTTGCAAATAGTTGGCCTTAGAATACAAATTAAAAAAATAAAAGATAAAAAATTATTTATATTGAAAACTCACAATATTTTTTTTTCTTTGTAATAGTTTGGCGCTTACATAGTACTTAAGTATGCATTGCATTGTTTAAGGTTTTAATTGTCACTTTAATATTCACTCATAAGTGGTAGAGTCAAGGAGGGATTATCTCCCCCTTAATTTCATCAAAACTTTATATTAAATAAAATTCAAATATAAAAGATTGGCATAATATAACATAAGTTGCCCCCCTTCGTGTTTATTATTCTTTATTTATAAAGAAAATTTGGGGAGTTCTTCAAATTTAGCTTTGTATTAACTCACTATCGCGTTATCATGTCTAAGTTAGCATGAATTTTGTTTCCTAGTCCCCTTTCACAAAATTTTCTAACTCCACTATTGTCACTCATATAATTTTTTTATTAATTTCATGATTTAAAACCTCATGCTTATGCACCAGAGGTTACCAAATAAATATTTTTTCAAGTAATTAAAAAAATTTAATATATGTTACCAAAAAAATTATTAATTTAATATTAAATATTAAATATTTTTAGTCAATATCCTTAAATCCTTTACTTAAATGGGGGAAGCAGTCCAACTCCAATATTGTTAGCAAGACCCTTATGTATGAGGTGGTAAGGTATCTTTTTCAATTGCTACCCAATAAAATACCTTTGCCAACTACAATACCCAAAGGCTTTAAATATTCAATGCACATTTAAGTTATATACTATTGAATTCATAACCCACCACTTTGCTTCACTAGCTAGCCCTACATGTTACATCTGAGATAAAGAATTCATATTATAATAAACCAAGGTTGGAGCCTCCCTTTGTATAACTATCAATATCAACGTAAGCAAAGCGTTGCACATTATGCTAATATATACGTCACTTTCCTTGTTGTTAAGTGCCATTCAAAATCATAATCATAACCAAAGAGAGAGAGAGAAAAAAAGGCTTATTGAAGAGTGACAAAAAGATATATCAATATTGGAAATTTTAAATATGAGATGATGCAACAAAGAATCTTCCACCTTTCTTCCGCGTTGTTCCTCACTCCCCTTGTGGGAGGGAGGGTATAGAGCTACGTGTGTTCCCCTCATTCACTTTTTTTGACCCATCCAAGGGGTTGTGGTATTTCACATATGAAATGGTCAATAATTCAATAAGTAATTTACATAAATCATACTCTCTACTTTCTCTCACACAAAACATTAATATGATATACATATACCCCACAAGAAGGGACCTACTTTGTAGAAAACTCACTTCATTTTGGCCAGTCAAATCTACCTCTTTTCCTTCTCTTTTCTCATCTTTATATCCCCTTCTTCCTCTCACCTTCTTGGTTAAGAAAGCCACTCTCTTTCCTTATTTCATAATCAGCTTCACTCTCTCTTATCTCTATGCCTTATATCTCCTCCACTTAGCAGCATATAACTCACAATCTCCCCATCAAATTTTCACTCAAATGCATATTCACTAGTATATTGAATGATCCAATTTGTCCTTTCATTAGCTTACAACTTGGCCTAGTCCACTCTGATAATTTTCATTCTAACATATAAGAGTTTTCAAATTCCATGCTCTTCATATGCTAATGTTTTGCAATTCAGCTTCCCTCCCACATTCTCTTTCCAAAATAACCTTTTGCAAGCCTTGAATGGCCAATACTATATGATCAAATTGGCATATTCTTGTAACTGTGTGCATAAGCTGAACTAAGGGACTTAATCAGCTGCAACTCAAATTGGAAGAGTAACCTTTTGTTGTTGCTGTTAATTCATCTTCATCACCAAATGGGAGAGGACATGGAGAGGGAACAAGTTTGTATAATTGGTGAGCTAATGCAAGGGAAGGAGCTAGCAAAGCAACTCTGTGATCATCTAGTTTCTTCTTCTTCTTCTTCTTCATCATCATCATCACCATCATCCCATGAAAAGAATGAAGTCTTAATTCAGAAAATACTTTCTACCTATGAGAAAGTACTCACCAAGTTGAATTGGAGTTCTGAAGTGGGAGAAAGTAAGAACAACAATGTCAACATGATGGATTCCCATTGTTCTTTTACAAATGGGAGCCCCAGAAGTGAGGTCCTGGACCCAGATGTTAAGCACAAAGATGTCTTCAAGAAAAGGTAATGTCAAAAGTTACCATTTTTTTTTCTGTTTCTTTCTAACTTGGTTTTAATTTTAAGGTTTATCATCTGATTTTCAATCTGGGATTTTTTGAATTTGTGTGCTGCAGAAAGACCATGCCCAGATGGACAGAACATGTGAAGGTATGCTCAAGAACAGTGCTTGAAGGGTCTCAGGATGATGGTTATAGCTGGAGAAAATATGGGCAGAAGGATATTCTTGGATCTAAGTTTCCAAGGTAAGGAACATATTATTTTCCTCATATAATTAAAGTTTTATTTTTCCACAAGGGGGATTTGTACAATTTGGCATTTGAATATATGATAGAAAAGTTCACCTATCTAGCTTTTTTTTATGTAGGATTATTTTTTAGTTAGTGCCAGAGGCCATAGGTACCCTTAACTAGAATATAATTGACCACTTCTAAAGGAGGTAGGAAAATAGTTAAATGAATTTTGCCACGCATAAAGGCTTGTTTTTCTGCTAGATAATAATAATGAGTAAGACAAATTGCTGTTAAAAAAATACTATATAAACTTATCCAAAGGACATCTTTTGCTAGATTCAATTCAGTGCAATAGCAGCTTTGTGATTAATGCACCAAGTGTCATTAAAGGTTCCTTGCGTTGTGCAAGAAAGAAGGGATGCATCCGTACATTGGATAAATCTGACAATTTTGTCCAATTGCGCAACTTGTTGGTGAAGTGTCATGGTGGTCCTAAAGTTTTGGGAGCTCATGTACCAATTTTATTTAGCAGAAAAAACAGTAACATACCAACCGAATTCACAATTGTAGAATAATTAGTGGAGAGATAAAAATAGGACTTTATTACCCCTTTATTCAAGTCTATAACCTTTTTTTTTTTTTTTTTGGAAATACAAGGAAATAAAATAAAACTACATTAGAGACGGATCATTCTGGGTGTAGTAACACCCCTCAAGTCATTCTGAACCCTCAAGTCTATAACCTTTAAAGCTACTAAAAGGACCACAAAAGTTGTTCAATATTAGTTTTGTTGTTCCTTGCATCAACATAGAACAAGAGGGCATGCTGTCATATCTTATTATTCTTATCGCTATGTGTTTGCTTAACTTATTTCATATTGAAGCAAGCTGTTTTCATGTTGTTTTTCTGACAAAAAGTGGTTTGTATTGCAGAGGATATTTCAGATGCACACATAGAAATGTACGAGGGTGTCTGGCTACTAAGCAAGTGCAAAAGTCAGATGAAGACCCAACAATATTAGAGATAACCTACAGAGGAAGACACACATGCACTCAAGCAAGTCATTTAAACAAGGCATCCCCATCAAAAACAAAGATGGACTTGGGAGAAAATAAACTCCAAACAAATCAAAAGAATCAACCACAAGAAGGGAAAATAGAACCACCCCAAGAGACAATTTTCTCTTTTGGTTCTGAATTTGAAGTTAAAATGGAGGACTTTGACAACAAGGAGGAAATCTTCCCATCATTTTCCTTTCATTCTTCATCAATAGGATCTGAAAATGATGACAACAACATATTCTCCAAGACCATGATTGAAAACCCTTTCATGGAAAGCTTTTCTTCTCCATTCATATCACCAGAGACTTCAGAATCAAACATCTTCTGTTGGTCACCATGCCACTTAGGCAGCATAGGACTAGGCCATAGTGTGCAAACCTCAGAGTCTGATATCAATGAGATAGTTTCAGCCCCAACTTCAGTCACCAATTCTCCAATAATAGATTTTGATCTCCTCCTTGATAAGATAGATTTCGACACAGATTTCCCTATCAACACCCCAGAACTTTTCTCTTGATAAATTGTCCCATTTCCAAGTTGACAGCATAGTTTGTGTGCGGATTAACTGTTGAGTTTTGTAGATCCTTACTAGCAACATAGCAGAGGGAAGAAATACACCATAGTCATCACATATAATGTCCATACATTAAGACAGTGAAACTTCCCACTCATGCTAGTTAAAGTGAGTTTGTACCAAGGCTGTAGTGTGAAAATAATTTGTAGGTTGTAGCTCTAGTCTTTTACCAGTTTCTCGCTTCACTTGTAACATATAAAATCATATTGTGATGTCTTCTTCTGGCTCAAGCTGAGCAAGAAATTGTGAAATAAATGAATTTTCACCCTATATTTGATGTCTAAAATCATCATCAATGCTAATGCGAAGTGTCATAGACTATAATAGACTATTTTACCTTATATTTGAAAGAGTATGGTTACGTAATCAAATATGTAACATTTTACATTACATGGCAACAACACCACGATGGGAATTGGGACCACAACTATCATTCGTAGTTTCACAACCACGCGTCTAAAATCTAAAGGCTAAATGGAATCCTGATTCCTCAATAGGAAACAAATGTATAAATGCCAAATGGAATTTGTATGCATCAGGTTCTAAGATAGTCAATTTGTAGTTTTGGAATTTTTGTGGATTGTCTTGGCTGAACCTGGACCCAATTTCCCAAACAACCAAGCTTCTATGAATCATAGTTAAATTTATTCTCAACTTACGTGATACTGGGGCTACTAAAGTAATGTGCCAGCCCCATTTCAATGTTTGACCATATCAAAAATAAAGACTAACTAATCTGGCATGGTGATTCTTGTCTCTTTCATGCCAAATATATATGATTCGGAATGAAAGCATTATTTCAAATCTTCATTTTGTTACCAATTACAATTATTATATTTACTATGTGAATTTAGAAAAATGATGAGTTTTGCTTCTGCGTTAGTGGTGAGTTGCAAAATAAAAGATAACTGTTTATTTTCTCTAAACTGATTCATCCTTTTTAAGACCATATTTAATGTTAAAACATTATAATCACAGAAGGAATCGAATAAAAAAAATTAAAATCATTTTCTATCTTTCTTTGTGAAATTAATAATCCTCTACAGTTTTTGCTTATTTTCAGTCTCATCCCTACAAATTTTTTCCTTTTCAAATTAGTGTTTACACTTACGAATATTTCCAAAACAGTCCATAATGTAAATGTTTGTCATAACTACGGCTTTTTGACCCTTATAACCTTTTATTAATAATTAATTACCAAATTGACCCTCATTATAAACTATTTCAAAAATTTAACCTCCCCAACAAACATAACACCGATCTGCCCCTGTTTGACCGTTGACCACCAAGCCTACCCGGGTACACCCCTCCCTACCCGGGTACTTTTTGAAATTTTTTGTCTACCCGGGTAGAGTTCTTCAATCTGGGAAAATGTTTGAATTATTTACCCGGGTAGGGAGGGGTGTACCCGGGTAAATCTCTGTCAAAAACCCCAAAATGAAATAAAACTCAAGAGACTAAAATGAAATCCCATTGAACTTAAGAGACTGCTACATAACAACTCCTATAGCACTTGTAAGTTTACTTACATTAACAGTCATCACCAGGAATTCTAACAGAACTCGGAAACTGACACCAGGCCTTGGATGCAAAATGAAGCAGGAGGAGGCAGAATAATGCATGGCCTCTGTCGAATAGGTTCAGAAATTCACACATCCAATGACAAGAAGCGATACCTGTTCAAAAACTGCAACAAACTAGATTAGGAAAAAATTGTATGAGGAACAAGTACAAGAGCAGTAAAGTTGAAAGGTACCCTTTTCTCAGAAGCATTCATTCAAAACCAAACTTGCAAAGAAATCAAAAAAAAGTTTAGAACTTTCAACCAACCCAAGATTTGAAAAAACCATAGCAAATGGTAGGTGACAATACCGTGGGAAGATGGGATAAAAAAATTAACATAAGATGAAGATAAGGAGGAGAAACCGATTTTGTAAATTTTATGTCTGTTGGCTGCTGCAGAGATCTAGGAGGGGTTTTGGGGTTTCTGGTGGAGATTTACCCGGGTACACCCCTATGTACCCGGGTAAATAATTCAACTATTTTTCCAGATTGAAGAACTCTACCCGGGTACACCCCTCCCTACCCGGGTAGGCAAAAATTTCAAAAAATACCCGGGTAGGGAGGGGAGTACCCGGGTAGACTTGGTGGTCAACGGTCAAACAGGGGCAGATTGGTGTTATGTTTGTTGGGGAGGTTAAATTTTTGAAATAGTTTATAATGAAGGTCAATTTGGTAATTAATTATTAATAAAAGGTTATAAAGGTAAAAAAGCCTCATAACTACTGTTAATTTAATCTCTACTTGACAGTAAAGAAAAGAAAAAGGAGAATATAAAAAATCATTCCTGCTTAACAAAGGAACACCTTCCAACAAAGCTCAGCACAGTTAGTAGATAGTTGGGTTCCTTAAGCATGTTGACAGGTAGAGGTATTCGCGGTCTGGATTGGATCGGTTTTGGAAGCAAAACTCATCTGATCCAATCACTTCGGTTTGATCATGTAATCATCCATTCGGTTTAGATCTTTTTTCAAATCCGATCCGATCCAATTCAATTTTTTTCGGGTTGGATTGGATCGGTTTTCGATTTTTTGAATATCTTAAAATTAGTTTCATGATTATTGTGCAAATAACATCTTTTGTATATATTGGCTTTATAAAAAAAAAATTGAAAAAAAAATATCAATAAAGAATACTATAGTTGATGAGACGTGACTAAGTTTTTTCTTGAATTTAGTTGATGAGTTAACGGGTCTTGAGTTTAGAAATTTTTGGGCTATGATTGGAGAAAGGACAAGTAGGTAGAGGATAATTAATATATTGGATCGGTTTGGATTAGATTGGATCAGTTTTCATCAACCCATCCGAAAACCGATCCAATCCAATTAAAATTTGTGGTTTTTTTTTTCTGTTTTCGATTTATTTGGTTATCGATTTTTCGGTTCGATTTTCGCGGTTTGAATCGGTTTGGATCGGTTGATGAACACTCCTATTGACAGGGGTTCGATCTCTGGCCGTGTGTATGGAAAATGCTTTGTTGGGAGAGGTTTGCCCACTTAATGTGATCTCCCGCCTCGTGAAGATTAGTCTTCGGCTGCTGGCCGGAAGATATCTTGGGAAACCAAAAAAAAAAAAAAGGAACACCTACTAAAATGAAGAAGTATTTGCTAGATGTTTTAAAGAAAAAAAAAAAGGGAGAATTAAAGTAATTATTGGGTTTGCTAACTGATGATATTAGAATAGTATTAACGAAAATTAACAGTGAGGACGAGTTTGAAAATATTTACAAGTATAAGGACTAATTCAATAAAAGCATAAATTGAAAAAAGTGAAATTATATAATCCAATATCTTAATTTAACCATCGATTTTATTTTATTTTTTTCACATTTTCAAAAGCACTTCTGCTAGTTTCAAATAAGTATCCGTCAAATGCACCCAAAACTGTGGACTCTAACGATCCACATTTACCCCAGCCCAACTGAACATGATCTGGGCTTTCTGGTATATCTTGGTCCTAGTTTTAATGGGCTGAATACCTTAACTACAACATCCTAAGGCGGTGGCCCACTACACAAGACTAAATACTCGTTTCATTTTTTGAAGACAAGCCCAAAGCTTTGGTCTTTTGGGTATGCCCATTGTCCACATGGAAAACGCCCACAACTCACATGAAATTTTATTTTATCAAAAATCGAGGGAAAAAAAATACATTTTGTAAAATAAGTTTTGCACTTTTGTAATTATGCCCGACTCGAATGAAATAACCGATGAAGAAATCTGAAAAAAAAAAAAAAAAAAAACATAAGAAGAACAGCCAGCACTTATCTCATAGTTTCCATATTGTGACTCTTTCATGTTGCCTCTCTCAGTTTTAAACTTTGTCAACATGGTCCGAAATTTTATTTCGTTTGTACGTATAGGTACAATAACTTTCTCTTGGATCAACATCAGTATTTATTTATTTTCTCTGAACTTAATTACACTCTTTCAAGAGCTACGCCTTTTTTTCCCTTCAACATTGGAAAGTTGTGACATGAATTTAAATTTCAATCATATCATAGAAATGTGATTAAATTTAAATTTAATTAACAGCTTATATAATCTACCATATAAAATATGAATTTTGAAAGACACTTCTAACCTTTAAGTCAAATTCGATATCAAATGTCAATACTTGTCATTTTATGATGATTTTGATGAGATTCATATTTAGAAAAAAATAGACATCTAGTCTCTTTTTTTATTTGTTATACAGTTTTCTTTTTAAATTGGCTTAGCAAACCCTGAGGATTTTGTTAGAATTTCTCTCATAACCAATTTAGAATTGAACTTTTTTTCTGATCAAACACTTCCCGTTTCACTTAATTTTTAACCCCATAATCTATATTTTTTTATTTTCAAATGGGTCTCGCCATGGCATTGGCACCCGAGTAAAATACTGAATGAATATTAAAATATAAAGCTCGACACCTAACCTAACCACCAAAGTGTACATAGATAGTTTAGTTTACATTTTAGAAGATCGATTGCAAATTTTTTTCGTTAAAAATAATTAATATTTGATTATTATAATAAAATCACGTTCAGAGTACGTACGAAATTATAAAAAAACAGTTTATCACAAATTTTTTTTTTATAAAAAATAGTTTTGTACATATAACTTTGGGATCAATGTTTCTTCTATTACAGGAGATAATTTTATTTTCTACACACATATAAAAGTGTGTGGGAATCATGTGGGTCCCATGTGAGAAGAAGGGAAAGAAAAAGAAATTATGAACCTCACACACTTTCATGTGTATGTAAGAGATAACATTATCCACTACAACATGAAAAATATTAATCTATAACTTTTCTTTTAATTTCTCCAAGATTTATTAATTAATCAATTAATCTAGTTGAGTTGAGTAAAACCAAAAGAGCAACAAATTTTTTTTTATTAAGTTTTTAGTGTACCTTATTCAAACTCTAAATCAATAGTTAAGATGGAACAACTCCATGTCAATTGATCCACGCGTTTGGTTGTACTTATAAATATTTTAAATATTAATTTGTAGTGTAATTTGATCACAATCTCATCTCATAAATTTAATGACAAGTTCATGATAGAAGTGCTAAGCTAGTGAACATTATTACTATTATTAATATTATTATGACATTCAAGATTCTAGTCTGTTAAATATATATAAAGACTCAATTAATTATGAATAAGCATTGAACTTATGTTTAAAAGGGGATCTTTTGGAGAGAGAGAAAGAGAGTCGCAAAAGAAGATGGTCAAAACGGAACAACTCATATGAATCCCTATTCCCCTCTTTAAACAGGATCAAATGCTAAAGAGTAACGAAAGGGGGGAGAACAGAGTAAATAGTCCCATATATATCAGCATTAATCATCGAGTTTAGTTGAAGGTTGGCAAGACAACAATCAAACAAGGATAAGGTTTTTGGAAAATAAGCTTAATTTCCTTCAAATATTGAAAATCTTACGATTGGTTCTTAAATTCTGACCTACTTTATGATAGGAATTGTCAACACCTCCAAAGGTTTCCCTGTCATCTAGAAGGATGTATACTTTCATATCCTTCTAATTAAGCTTTTTAGTGGGAGTTTCTTAAGTACTACTCTCGTTAATTAATAAATAAATAAACTTTTCTACACCATAAAAAGGTTTAATATACCAAAGAAGAAAAAAATGAGCATACTCGTGGAAAACTACTCTCTTCCTCACGAGTAAGAAGAGTTGGCTATGTGAAAAACAGAAAAAACATTAGTTCATAAAAGACTACAAATTAAAGTATATATATATATATATATATATATATATATATATATATATATATATATATATATATATATAGATATATATATATATATTCTTAGGTTTTGACATCGGAAAAAAAATTGCTAACTAGTTTTTTTTTATTGAATTTCTCATTATAGTTATTATATTCCTCATTGAAAGCAAATCTAGCTTTCTTCGGACTACGATTAAGCTTAAATTAATAATGCTACATATATATAGTTTTTGTATTAAATAAAATTTGGAGATTAAATTTTTCACTAATTTTATTCAGTGTTATAATAAATTAAATATAATTCAATGAGTCTATAAATTTGTTATTTTTAAAATTTTATTTATATAATATTATTCCGTACAAAATTAAAAAAAAAGACAATAAATGAGAAGCAAATAATTTTAAGGTTAGCAAGTTAATTAAGTCCGTGAATGCATCTTTCTAGAAAGTCAGAAAGAACCAAATTAGCAGGGATGAACGAGTGATGCGACTGTCTCAGCTTGCAGAATGATTCTCTCTTTGACGGATCTTTAAGGAATCATTGAATTAACAAGTAATTGTCTTCTATTAGCTCCGTGGTTAATTTATGCGCAGCTTATTTGAGAAAGATTAAACATATATGATAGTTACGTGATTGATTGCGTATCTACTTCCTAGTAGTTTACTATTTAATAGATGTCAGAGACACTGCTAGGTTAGTTGTTGTCTTTTGTATTCTGTATTTGCATGAAATGCTAAAAAGTTTGTGCCACTAAAAAACAAAATATCACTATTATATTATAATTAATCAGAATTTTCAAATAATACTGCTTTTGGAATATTATCAGCTGTACGCATAACTTTTCATATGATCTCGATGTTTGAACTCAAGAGGTCAATAAGGCAATGCGAAATAGACAGATAGAAATTATGGGTCTCTTTACTCTGTTTTGATTTTTTTTTCTTAAAATTGTTTTTGTAAAATAGTTATGAAAATAGTTGTTTTTTATATTTTTTAATTTTTGAAAGTTAAAAACTAAAATAGAAAACAAAAACAACTCAAACACATCCTCTAAATTTAATTTTAAAAACAAAAAAAAAACAGTTATAATTTTCAAAATATTTTTTACAAAACAGACCTTACCAAACGAGTATTTTAGTTTTTTTGTTTTGAAAACTAAAAAACTGTTTTTAAAAACAACAATCAAACAGAGGGTATATCTTTTTTTTTTCTATCCTGAAATTATATCTTTATTCATGTCCGAATCATGAATGGACTACTACAGTTAGCCATACTAACATGGAGGGTAACATGGTAGCAGACAATTTGGCTTTTATGGGATATTCCTTCTTAGATTGGGATTTACATGTATTGAACGAGATCCCTGAAGTTTGCAATTTTTTTCTCAACGGGGCATGTGATGGGTGTTTCTTGCCCACGTATTTGTAATGCTTTGTAGTTTTTAATTTCATTAGTTTTCAGAAAGAAAAAAAAAATCTTTTTTGTTTTTTGTTTTGTGCCTTTTTTCAAGGTCATTTTTATTATTTCAGTTTAATTTTATAATAAGCATACATTTCTTAGAGTTAGTGGATTTTTTTTTTTTTGTAAATAAAGAGGGGCTAAGCCCCAGAAACAGAAAGAAAGAGAAGCATGCCTAGGAAAACAACAACGTACACCGTAGTGAATAAATTAAATTGAGATTTTGATATTTGTCTGGATTACTATATTAAGCGAGAAAAAGAGTCCAACTCATTTATAATCTATGAGGCCCAATAATAAAAATTTAAAGAGTAAAAAAACATATTCATCTCACATATATAGCTATGATTACAACAGCAGCTCAAAGCTCATAAGCCTTCTCAATAGCCAATGATCCAAGAACAGACACATGATTATAGCTAGGCCTAGGAGGCATAGTACAAAAAGTGGCATCCCTCATATGAGATAGAGTGCGTAAGTCTCTTGAGTCAATCAATCATCTTATATGTTTATCATTGCTTAAGTTTATTGATCAAGTATTAATTTGACTGTTGAAGTACCTTGTAAATACCTCTTTTTATCTGTTTTAATCAAGCAAAGATCTCAAACACCAGTTTAGCTATCCTGTAGGAATATCCTGCATCGAAATTCATCTTGTACCTCATACTTCAATTGGATCAAGTTTCAATCATGTGTGGTTAGACCTAATATTTCTTGGACAGGTGAAATATTATACATCAATATCTTTATATTTTTTTATATTTTTAATTAACTATAAGGAAAAAGAGACAGTGAAATAAAATATATTTTGTTATTGTTAGAAAAAGAATAGTGTTATACAATTATAATATAAAATTATTAATTTGTCTTTTATGTCAAAATTTAAGTTTTTGAATTGAATTAATTATTTTATATATTATCAAAGACTCCACACACCAACTGGTTATGAGTTGGATCTCATCAGCTGCCCCATTCTATTAATAAAAAAAATAGTTGCAATGATTTAAGAAATTAAAATTAGAACATTATAAAAATTGCATTTATCTTCTTATTTTATATATTAATATAGAGAAATGCTTTTCTCATGTTGGATGAGATAATTTATCTCATGCAACACACAAAAAAGTGAATAGGACCCACTAAGAAGAGAAGAGTGAAAGAAAAAAAGTGAGTCCTATCTATTTTTTTGTTGTTGCATGAAATAAATTGTCTCATGCAACGTGAGAAAAACATTTCCCATTAATATAATATACCCTATGTCAAATATAGATTTTGTCCTATCATGTAGGTAGTACCTGTGGCTGTATCAATAATTTCCTGGAAGGATCGATCCATGCAATCAGTGGTATAAACAACGGTTTACTTGCTGTTGCGATATAATTAAGCCATTTGAGGCCAATACAATCCCGAATAACAACAACCTAATGCAATTGCAACAGTCACTTGCATTGTTACAGACTTACAGTTGCATCATGGCGGTTTGAATATAAAAAATAAAAGATAAAAAATTCTACGCTCCCCACCGGTTCTGTTGGCGCTTTGTTAAGTATATTTCAATGAAATAGTGTTTGATGATATAAACGATCGAGCTCTTTCAAGCACATCCCAAACCCTAATATACCTTTCTTAGTTGAGAATTGATAATTGATAATTGATAATTAAGTTTTTAAATTGCATTAGTTGGGATCACGGGCTAATGCAAGTTAATTATACAGCTGATGCAGTTCATTATCACGAGCAATAGAAAAATTTTCCACCTCCATATTGCTTTGCCAAATCTAGCATCAACATTACAATTAGTTGGGTGTAATGAACACCATGACTTATTATTTTAAAAAAAAAAAAACAAAAGAAGAAGAAGGAAGAGATCATCAAAAGAAAAATGAGAACTTGAGTTGAGATAATTAACTACTAATAAAGTACTAACCACTTCAATTTGTCACAGTTGTCTTGCCCTGCCACTTAAGAGCCAACAGGGAGATTTGCTTCGTTGAAGATCCATTTTCACCTAGAGCTTTATCAGCTGCCACCTTAAGATCCTTCATTCGGTAACGAAGTTTCTTACCTTCCTCACCCTCCATAAGGTTCTTCACAACACTACCAATTTCTTCCCTTTCAACCAAACCATTCTCATTAACCTTAGGCCTTAGTGCCACTCTCATATCTTGGGTAACCAAAACGGCATTCATTGTTTGCTCAGCGTATAGTGGCCATGCAACCAAGGGCACCCCATTCACCACACTCTCAAGTATTGAGTTCCAACCACAATGGGTCAAGAACCCCCCAATGGACTCATGGCTCAGGACCTGAGCCTGTGGGGCCCAAGATGGCACCACTAAACCCCTCTCTTTGGTCCTTTCAACGAACCCTTTTGGCAAGAAATCAAAAGGGTCACTGTGACTATCAACAATGAAATAAGAAGCATTAGCAATCTTCTCATTTGGGCTCTTCACAACCCATAAAAACCTTTGCTCACTCATTTCCAACCCCAAAGCAAGTTCATTCATCTGAGCACTAGAAAGGGTTCCACCACTACCAAAACACACGAATATGACACTGCCACGTGGCTGCTCATCCAACCACCTTAAACACTCTTCGTCCCCGGTTTGAGGACTATCCTCATTCACCAGCGGTCCGACCGGATAAATCGGCGGTCTACCCGGTTCGTCACTATGTAAAAACTCGATGGTCTCCGGTTCAAGCTCATAGAAACTGTTCTCTATGATCCCCTCTGCCATGCTGAATCGCTTGGAGTGGTGGAGAAGCCACTTGTAGCAATCGCTATTCCGGTGATAAGCACCGTCCACCAAGTCTTTTCCGTGAACCGGAACGCAACCGGGAATCTGGACCGGTTCAGGGAGGTCCCTGAACTCGCACTGAACCGCTTTGTCCAATTGAGGCACGTAGAAGGAGAATGACAAGAACATGGCGGTGGAAGGGAAGAAGATGTATGGGGGGACATTGAATTCTCTGATGACATCGAAGGCGTCGGTGCCTATGAAGTCGACGACGAAGGCGGCGACGCGATGGGTGGCGGTGAGGGAGAGGAGGGCGCGACGGAGAGAAGGGAGAGAGCGGAGGACAATGTTGCAGATGAGGGAACCGACTTTGGTGTCGAGTGGGAGGTCCGAGAGTGTGACCGGAGGGAGGAAGATGTGGGAAATGGCACGGGGGAGGGAGCGGAGGACGGTGGTTTGTGCCTTGGAGGGAGGGCCGTCGGTGGGAATGATGAATGTGACGGCGAGGTTGTGGTGGCAAGTTAGTCTCTTTGCGAACTCGATCATTGGGATTAGATGTCCCATGCCTGAGCTTGGCATCATGGCCACTATAGGTAGTGGTGACTCTAATAGTTTTGGTTTCACACATTGTTGTTGGTCTTCCATTGCAATGGTGTTGTTCATTTGGTGGAAAGAGAGGGTTTTATACACACTAAGTATTGGTTTCTCAGCAGAAGCCGATAATTTTTTAAAAGCGTCTGAACAGAGAAAAAAATTAACTATATTATAATTATGTACTCATTATTGTACATAGTTAGGATAATGAAAAAATGATGTAGTATGAATATCCTTCCTCTTGGTTTTTAGCTTTTTTTACGAGACATAATTATTTATTTGACACTAGTCTGCCCGATTATTTTCACAAGCTTTAAGAAGAGTCTGTCTAATTGTTTTCACAAATTTTAACTTTTTGAGTCAACTACAAAACTTATAAGACTAATTCAGAGTTGGGTTTAATCACAATTAAATTTTTTTTGTCCATTTCAAAAAATGTATTTGATCAAAACTGAGATTCTCTCCGCACATGCTCATCCTTGCCAAGTAAAATACATTCATTAAGTTGCAAATAAAGATACAACCATTGGGCTGCATGTATAGTCAAATGCATGAATCGACACAGACATGAAACCAAGTCTGAAATGGTAACCAAATTAATATAGTGCCCCTAGCACGAGGAACCCACGAGGGGATAAATAAAGACGCTTTATTTTAATTTTATAATTTTCCTTGTCGTTGCTATTGTCTTTCTCATTTATTCTTTTATAAAATTAAACTTCTTTCTAACTTTTCAAGCGGTGCGGTTACAAAATTTAGACAAAAAAAAAAAACTTATGGAAGGTTGAGTATATGTCCCCGTGACATTTTAATTCAATGACTCTTTCACAAATTGCTTCGAGACAGAGAATCACTTGTCGCTTCTCCACCTGATACGTTATATATATATATATATATATATATATATATATATATATATATATATATAATAGGTAGAATACTTTGACACCGGTGTCAAATTTTAAATTTTGAAATTTGACACCTCATCTGAGAATCGTTAAATCAAAAAAGATCAATAGTGTCACATTCTTACAAATCAAAGTCGTTGATCTTTTTTGATCTAACGGCTCTCAGATGAGTGTCAAACTTCAAATTTGACACCTCGTCTGAGAATCGTAAGATAAAAAAAGATCAACGGTGTCACATGCTTACAAATCAGAGTCGTTGATCTTTTTTTATCTAACGGCTCTCAGATGAGGTGTCAAACTTCAAAATTGACACCGGAGTCAAAGGATCCTACATATATATATATATATGGAAAAAACAAGTATTATGTTGTAGGAAAATTCTTAGGTCATGTCTGATTTGTAAGCATGTGACACCGTTGATCTTTTTTTATCTTACGATTCTCAGACGAGGTGTCAAATTTGAATATAGAGGTAGGATCCTTTGACACCGGTTTCAAATTTGAAGTTTGACACTCATCTGAGAGCCGTTAGATCAAAAAAGATCAACGACTCTGATTTGTAAGCATGTGACACCGTTGATCTTTTTTGATCTTACGATTCTCAGACGAGGTGTCAAATTTTAAATTTGACACCGGTGTCAAAGGATCCTACCTCATATATATATATATGGAAAAAAACAAGTATTATGTTGTAGGAAAATTCTTAGGTCATGTCATAGAGACAATCAATTGTGGAGGCCACTATTTTTAAAAAAAAAGAAAAGTAAAAGAATTGATGGGCCCACTTTTATGTGTCTGTAGGAAAATTGGTTGTGTCATGTGTTAGTTGAAATTTTTGTAAAAAAAAGTATAGAATTCAAGTATCGTTCTCTAGGAACGGGAAATTCAATTTCTTTCGGTTATTCCCTTTTTTATTTTTCTTGAATGTGAATGTAATGGCTTTTTCAATGGAAGATATATTTTCTAAAATGCAAACTATAGTAAGAATGGTAAGAACACGTTTATATGAGTAAAAATGAATATTAAAAGTTTAGAATTCTGATTTCAATGACTTTTCCCTGAAAATTGCATGTTTGCGCTTTAACTGCTGTAGCACCTATCTTGATGGAATCTGACTTTTTGTAGAACTTGACTAAACTTTCCCAAATTCAGTTCTAAAATGATTCAAATTAATCCGTTAATCTTGAGTCATTTTACTGATGACTTGTAATCAAATTCTTTCCTAGATTATTCCTAATCTTTAAGTCCATTCCCATGGAACTTAAACCAAGAAATATTCACTACTCAAACATCAAGAACATGCACAACAGTTCAGATTATTAATGGGTACTCATCATCTCCATTAGAATTCCAGAAAAGAGGAATTAGCCATGCATGTTGAAAAATAAAGCAAAAACGAAATCTGAATTAACAGTAAACATGATTTTTATTCTCAAAGGAAAGAAATAGCAAAAGTAGAAGGTAACAGACTGAGATGTTCTTCACAAATTCAGATTGTAAAACTATGAAAAGCTTAAGAACAGAAAAGTAAAACCACGAGTTGCACTGAAGGTTTGCCTTCTTGAATCCCTTCAAGAGTGGTGTTCTTCCTTGTGCATTTTCTCCAAGAAACTCTAAAAAACTAAACGCTCAAAATGAAAATTGAGTTTTTTTCTTCAACGAAAAATCTAATATCCTCTTGAGTCTGAGTTCCCTTTATTACAAAACAGAGATTTTTACTTAAGCCGAAGCTTCAAAAGTTTGTTGTCCATCAGATCAAAAGAGCATCCAACGGGTGTCACTTTGCCATCTCATTTTCTTCTTTCATCTTTCTGCCATGTGTCCTTTTCTGTGGTAAAAATTTAAAATAATTAGTGAAAATCTAAATTGCCCTTCTTTTTTACTTCTTTTTACCAACTTGGGTTTACTCTCTTATATTTGGCCCAATTTCACCTGTATTATGACAAAATCAGCCCATAAAACATAGGATAATTACCACTAAACTAAGTAGAAATTAAGACTAACATCATGTGAAAGGAGGAAAACATTACCCTATATATATATAGGTGTATATGGTTATGATTCTCCCAATTTAGGAACAGTGACCATTTTGTCACGCCTGATTAAAAAAATTACCAGACTGCCACGCCAACAATAAATTTTTCCAGAATATCACGTGGGATAATTCGCTACACTGTGTAGCGAAATATGCTTGCAAATAATTCGCTACACATTGTAGCGAATTATGCCACGTCAGAATATACAGTCAGCAAAAATGTCACTTGTCAAGTAGGTAGTAATTCGCTACCCTGTGTAGCATATTATGTTCGCAAATGATTTTTTGACACGTGGCACACTTTCGCAGGAAAAAGCTGACGTGTCATAATTCGTTACTACTGGTAGCGAATTTGCTCTGCAATATGACCACGTGTCACGAAATTATTGGCCACGAAATTCGCTACCAATGGTAGAGAATTATGACACGTGGCAGTCTGGTAAAAAACATTGTTCGCGTGGCATTTGGGTAAAATTTTTGACAAAACGTGACATTTTGGTCACTGTTCCTCCGATTTAATACTTTCATTCTTTGTATGGTTATGATTCCCCGCATTTAATGCTTTCAAGTATATATATGACAAATATTTAATTGTTGCACATACAGCAACTGCAAAAATGTAAACCCCATATATATATATGTATATATATATATATACATATACATATATATATATATATATATATATATATACATATACATATATATATATATATATATATGACTAGGTGACAAATTATTTTAACAAATTATATTATTTCTTATCGGTAAAACTTCATTCAAGAGTGTCTTAGTGGTAAGACATAATATAGTTTATAAACAAAAAGTTTATAAATAGATCATTCCCCATATATGTATATATGTGTATGTGAGAGAGAAAAATATTTCCCAAGTTAATTGAGATATATTTATCTCTAACAATTCTAAAACTACGTCGTTTTGTTGATTTATTTTCTTATATTAAATGATTCACTTTTGAATGATTATGAACTTATGATTCCTTTTTTCTTTTTCTTCCTTTATTATCATTGAAACATTAAATTAATAGTGTGTTATTGATTGGGATTAAGAAAGTAAATTTATTTATTTTTAAAGCTCAGTTGAAAAAATTGGATCAAATTGGCCGAGTCGATCAAAAAGTCAGTAAACATATCATATAATTGTTTCGGATTTCATAATGGATCAGACAAGCAATGAAATCGGTGCAAAAATTGGTGACCCGTTTTGTTCAAATAAAACTGGATGGGTAATGTATATTTATTTAAAAAAATAAAGAACTAAAACGATGGTCGTTTAAAGAGATGAGGTCATCAAAATTTTAGATCTGAAACACGGGAATATTTAATATGCTCCAGGACCACCCATGATTTGGTGCTCCTTCTCAAAATCCTAATTTTTTCTTTCTTTTTTTACCCCTGTTATTTTTCTTCTTTTTCAATTTTACCCTTCCATTTACACTAAGGGACCACCTAAAAAATGGTGGTCCCGGACCACAATAAATTCTCTCCTGAAACACGCAAAGTAGATGACAATGGGTCTGTTTGATTGTGTTTTGGTTTTTTTGTTCTTAAAACTGTTTTGTAGAATAATTATGGAAACGGTTGTTTTCTATGTTTTTTATTTTGAAAGTTAAAAAGCAAAACAGAAAACAAAAACAACTCAGACATGTTCTCTAAATTTGATTCTAAAAACCGAAAAACAGTTACAGTTTTTAATTTTTTTTTTACAAAGCAGGACTTACCAAACGAACTTTTTTATTTTTTTGTTCTAAAAACTAAAAAACTGTTTTTGAAAACAGTATTCAAACAGCGGCAATGTCTTCTTAGAGAAGAACCACAACTCTGTGCTCCTCTGCGAACACCATCGCTGTTGTTCCGCAGTTCGAGAAGAAGACATAAAAAAAGGGGTATGCAGTATTAGTCATAAACATATCCTCCTTGTGTTTGTTCTTGAACTTTCCTTGACGATGTTGTCTCTTAATCTTTTTCTTTTTTTTTGACATAATTTTTGGTTTTTCCTATTTTTGAAAAAAATTATTTCCATGTTTGATTTATTCTCCAATAGTCCACTATGATTTAAGTGTGAACTTAGAAGTTTTTATAGGTGGTA